AATCTGCTATTGTACATCTACCAATAAGCACATTATCCAGTAATGTAGATCTATGTCAATCACAATACCTGAGGCCCAATGTACGCTGCCAGCACACATGTAGGCCCATCTCATCACTTCCACCAAATGACAGGTCCTGTGGATGCCATCTCATTTATACAAAAGGGTGTGGTCTCCCAAGTTAAATAATTGAACAAAAATGGAAATGACCATATTTGGTCAATGAGGTCACATGCATCACTGTGATGTCATTGATCAAATAAGTTCATGTCCAAATATGGTCAATGACATCTTCCTGGGTCTGTGCCCCTTGTTGTCTGTTGGACCTGTCATTCTGTGGGAGTTAAGCATCTGGAATAGATATGCATTGGCAGGCAACATTTTGCACCGTTCACCATATAGGAGATATTTATTCTGGCAGCAGCCGGTCTATATCTGTGCCATTCCTTCAGAGCCATATGTTGTAAAGAGTGACTCCAGTGCACATGGAGTGACATCATCATAGCTCAGCCATTCGAACTGCCGCAGTCTGCAAACACGGTAGGAAGACAGGGTGAAGATGGAGGCACTTACAGTGGTGAGGGCGTAAATTGTGGTGCATACCCGAGTCCCTTTTTTTTGTTTTTGCTGCAGTTTACTACCCCTTTAAGGGCCTGTGGCCTGGTACAGGTGGTGAACACGCATTCTCCCTTTTCTTTTCTGCCAAGCTGCATGCACAGGTAGGGGGCTGGTATGGATTTTTGAGGGACCCCAGCTTTTTTGTTTAATTTTTGCATGGGGTTCCCCTCTAAAATCTATACCAGGCCTAAAATGCCTGGTATAGAATAGAGGGGACCTCACACAGTTTTTTAACTATCCCTACCACTTTGAATACATGGCCCTGGATTCTTGGCCATGCAAGTAAATAGGGACAAATGATGTCACTAGTTGTTAAACACTCAGTGGTGCCTGTTATCACCCACATTCATTAACAACCATTAACATCAAGAAGCTGCAATGTATAATAGGGAAATGAATATGTTATAATATTATGTTATAAATGATGACCAGCTCCCACTGAATGGGTAAAGCTCAGGTGTTCCAAATGTCCAAACAGCCAAGCTCAAACCAAACCTTCAGTCCATTCCTAGTAGAAAAACAATAATATAAGCAATAGTCAGCATGGATTCATGAATAAGTAAATCTGTCAAAAACACATCTGCTTTCTTTTTATGAGGAAGTAAGAAAACATAAAAAGGAGTGGCTCTAGATACAGCATACATGGACTTTGGCATTTGACACAGATTTCCTCACATGGCTAATGTGTATGTTACAATTTAAAGACTTAAAAAATTCAGTTTGTAAATGACTATAAAAACTAGCTAAAAGTCCATAATCAGAGAGTAGTGAATAATGATTCATACATGACCCTTACTTTTTAACCTATTTATAAATAATACTAAGTCTGGGATTAACTGTAATTTCTGTGTTTGCAGATGACACAAGCTATATAGTGGGATAAAGTTCCTACATCTCCAATGCACAGACATCAATGCACTGTTTGATTGGGCAACTATGTAGCAAACAAGGTTTAATGTTGAAAAAAGTAAAGTTATGCACCGTGGGCTAAAACATGCTAGCATCCTATATCCTATGAGGAGTTAATGGTCAAAAGGGATCTGGGTGTTCTGAGCTTACTAATAGGCTTACTAATAACACTCAAAGCTGGAATTTCTAATGCTAGCAAAATAGTTTCTGTATTAGATATAGTCTCCAGAGAGGGGGACATCATTTTGCCCCTGTACAAAACAATAGTAGGACCAAATATGGAATATACAGTTCAGTTCAGGTTATTAAGGAGGGATATGATCACCATGTATAAACACATTAAGTAGTTCATAGTAGTATTGAACCTGATGCAGGTATTAACTTTAAGGACCTTGTATCTGGATGAAAAGAGATTTAACCAGAGATTGTTGATCCAGGGAATATCAAATTGCCTTGTGGGATCAGAAAGGATTTTTTCCCCTGCCAGAATAAATTGGACCATGCTTTAAAGGGTTTTTCCTTCCTCTATGTATAGATTTCTGTATATGGAAGGTTTCTATTTATTTATTTATTGTTTGGTTTGCTTGAACTAGATGGTGTCTTTTTCAACCTGACAAACTATATAACTAAACATATAAAAAAATAAATAAAATGAACCTGTGCACTGTCCTAATATAATATGCAAAGACAATGAATTAATAAAATAATAAAATATACAATCTGCTGCTGCTATGTCCTCATATTATCACACCACATATAACAATATCAAATATAACTAGCAGGACAGTGCTGCAAATATCACAATTAATTAAAACTGAAAAAGTCCAAAACAGATGCTGAAATCTCACAGATCTTCTAATAGGATTCTGCCAAATAAATATAAAGAATACAATTCTCATATAATTATTGAACAATGCCATCTTCATAAAGTTTTTCAATGACCAGAGAGAATAAGAATCTTCATGAACTGATATAGAGAAAGTCCCTTCCATCTGTGTGCTCAAAATATCAATAAATAAAATCACCACTAGTGTGAAACCATCACCTCCAGCCTCTCACCTGATGAATAGGCCTACTGAGCTTTGGTCTGTTGGTCTGATCATGCCTTTAACCCTATTATCCTTGGGTTATGGGAATATTCTTCTCTATGAATCCTCCAGATAGCTAATATAAACAGATCATCGATTTACATGGAAAGAAATACTGACATAGTGTATACCGTATGTATACTATATTAAAAAAGAATTAAAATGACACTCACAAATAAAGTGCACTATTCTGGTGCACTACAGGTATCAACATTATCAAAATAAATACTCCATATGACTGCTGCGGCTGGTGGAGACTCCGTAAGTAGGGTCTGTGTCCTCCATCCTTTCTATAACCCTGGTGTTCTCCTGTGCGTGTAATCCGTGTAGTCCTGTCAATGGGGAAGTGTACCGGTATCACTCACTCCACATAACTCCTTGTATATTGTCACAGTGCAAAATAGTGAGGCCAGCTCCCAAACATCACCAATATAAAGATAAGGGGAGCAAGTACAGTCATTCCTGCTGCAGCTTTTTCTACTGAATGTGATACACTTTTCTAGTCCGCTTCCTCTACTTGAAATCAAAGAGGTACACAATCTCTACTTTGCTGACAAATAAACAGGCACAAAACAATTATACCCAACAAACTTCATCCAAACAAATGACAAGTCAATAAATACGTAAACTACCAAAGCTAGCCAGCACCAAAAAAGTGTTTCACACTAATATGATAAAGATAAAATACATAAATGATGCAGCACTGATAAGTATGAATAAACTATTTTGAAACATCAAGAGAGTATTTGAAAATAAATGTCATTTGATTCAAGACTAGAAAGTAGTGCTCCTATTGATACTGGTGGTGCAATGAACAAAAAAATTCTAAGTGCTCTGCCCAATGCTCTTCACACAAATTTAATGATGCTGTGTAACTGCTCACCACAAAGTGCATACAATCTGCTCTCCTTGCAACATGGATATAATTGACAGGAGGTCAAACAACACTTCACAGATATATAAAACAGTTATCTTCTCCAATGGATCAATACATGACAGCTGGCATGGCAGCTCCTGAGTTCATGGTGTCTGCCGTGGCCCACTCCACAATGTCCCTTACAACTAATGAACCTAAAAGAGACATGATTTTTTCACTATTGAGTACTGTAGCTGGAGTAGTAACTAATCAATGGTCTGTGCATGATTAGCTGCAATGCAGGGCAGAGGAGACAGTGGGTGTCTAATAGGTCCCTGTTGTGATCATAAAGAGGACTTTTTATCTACCCATTGTATCACATAGTGACTTGTTAAACCCTTGTTATAGCATTAAAGTTAAATTAAAAAAAAAATTAAAAAGTGTAAAAAAAATTATATAGTAAAACAAAAATGATTTTAAAAAGTTTTAAAAAATAGTTATTTCCACCACCCCTGCACACACCTGAATGTAAACACGTGTGGAAACTAAGCAGGTGTATGTAAGCATAAATTGCAAACATATCAGAGAAAGCAATAATTCTAGGATGATAATTCACTCTAAAATGATAATCTGTAAGGGCCTATAAAACATTGAATATGGACAAATTTGGGTATCATAGTTTTTTGCTATTTCAGGCAGATGCAATTTTAGGGCTTTACATGTTTACTTGACACAACACCATCTTTTTTTATTTATTTTTTTTTATTTTACCAAAGAGAATAGGTATTATATTGTGTTTGTTTGCACTTATTTTTATTTGTGTATTTTTCCTGAAAATTCGCATTTGATAAATAGTTGCTCTAATAACATGCAACATAAACAAACGCTACTGCCACCATTTTTTCAACAGGGTTTCTGCTTTGAGAAAATATATACTTGTTTGGGAGTTTAAAGTAATTTCTAGCAAAAGATGCAGATTGTATCATGTATGCAAAAAAAAAAAAAAACCCTGTTAGAAAAGTGGTTAAATGCTTGCACAGGATCTCCAGGATTCAGATCATGAAAGAGAGACAACTATTGGGTGGCCACCCTATTAAATCCCACACACGAGGGTAAAAATGGCCTCTGCAATACTACGTTTTTTTAAAATACAGGAAACAGTTACAGCTGCAGTCTTCACTTACCAGCAGCATATCAACCACAGGTTCATCAAGTCCAGGGCTGATGTAGATATTCTAAAAAGTGAGGACCCCACAGACCATTAGGTGTCCAGACAGGATCATAGGCTAGAGCTTGCAGAACAGGCACTGGGACTTCTGCTTAGCCCTGGTTAGCCCGGAAGTAGTTAAGGTTTTGTGGACTTCATGCAGAAATCAAACCCATGCAGGTTCATTTATCACTAGTAATCTAAGTAGCCAGAATCAAAAATGGAATATATTCCAGGTTACCAATCATTAGATGTAGTGGCTGTATTCATGTTCTATTTTAGGCCTTTTCCATTCTGTTTTGACCAGGGGAGGACTGACAACTCAGGGGGCCCCCGGTCAATAGGGGATCATGGGGCCCCTGTGTCCTCACCCACACTCAAATCACACCCAAAAAAGCCTATGAAAGGTACCAGGGAGGCCTGATGGGCCCCCTGATGACCCCGGCCCTCGAGCAGTGCCCGAGTTCCCCAATGGTCAGTCCGCCCCTGGTTTTGAATTGTGATCTGGCCAGTAACACACCTTCTGTAGAGATATGAAGGAGCGCAGAAATACCTTTGGACAGCAGCATTGCTAACATGGAGGAGGGTTGTGTTTAAATCCACTAACAAATTGAAGTCAAGCTCTAGCTAACACTTTTTAAACAGTTTCAGCAATATTTTGTCTTTTTGGTAGGTATTGTACACTAGGCTGTGTACATCATAAAGATACCTAACTTCACAGGAAAGGTCACGACATCCCCTAGCAATGTCATTTAACCACTGGGAATATTGTCAACAAAGAACACAGAATAGAAATAAGAATGCTTCTAACTGGCTGTATGCAAACAAACTGCAAAATATATTTACATGGGCAAAAAAGTTAAAAAAGGCTAAAATTAAAACATGTGGCTCATGTCCAAAGTTTAAAAAAAGTAAAAAAGAATAAAAAAGGGCACTTAAAAATAAAGGAAAACAATCATCATTTTAAATTTACAAAGAATAAACAAAATATGTTAAAAAAAAAAGAAAACAAAATTCAAAATGATCTACAGGTTGTGAAAGAGAGTTGGACAAACCCCAAATTCTTTATATTAAATGTTGTGTCTACATGTATATTTCATCACTTCAATACCAGACACTTTCACCCCTTCCTGCCCAGGCCAATTTTCATCTTTCAGCACTCTCACACTTTAAATGACAATTACTCAGACATGCAACACTGTATCCAAATTGAAATTTTTATCTTTTTTCACACAAATAGAGCTTTCTTTTGGTTGTATTTATTCGCCACTGGGTTTTTTCATTTTTTGAGCTATAAATAAAAAAAAACAAGTTTTTCTTAGTTTTTGTTATTACATTTTGCAAAAAAAAAATATACTTTCTTCATAAATTTAGGTCAAAATGTATGGTGCTACCTTTTTTTTTGGTAGACGTAACCCAAATCAGTGTATATTATTTAGTCTGTGTTAAGATATAGAGTCTACAAACCATGGTATATATATTTGAAAATTGATCAGTCCTGATGTACTGATTACCTATATCATTTCTTGGGGCTCTAAAATGCCAGAACAGTACAAACAACACCCAAATGACCCCTTTTTGGAAAGTTTACAGTCTGAGGTACTTAATAAGAGGCATGGTGAGTCTTTCTGAAAATGTCATTTTTTGGAAATTGAAGAAATTAAATTATTATTTTTTTTCACAAAGTTGTCATTTTAACAAGTTATTTATTTCAAACAGCATATGCATACTTACAATTATACCCCAAAACACATTCTGCTACTCTTCCTGAGTATGCAGTTACCACATGTGTGAAACTTTTTCACAGCCTAGGCACAAAGAGGGGCCCCCACACTAAGTACCTTCAGGCGTTTTAGGCGCAAAAATTACACATCTAATTTCTTGACTACCTATCATAGTTTTGGAGGTCCTGGATCACCAGGACAGTGGAAGCACCCACAAAATGACCCCATTTAGGAAAGTAAACATCACAAGGTAAGTTTTAAGAGGTATGGGGAGTCTTCCGAAAACTTCATTTTTTGGAAAATGTGGTAAGAAAATGAAAATGTATTTTGTTTTTACACAAAGTTGTCAATCTATGTGATATTTATAATACACAGCATAGGCATACTTAATAATAAAAACACATTCTCTAGCTCCTCTTGAGTATGGTGATACCACATGTGTGAGACTTTTTCACAGTCTGACCACATAGAGGGGCCCCACATCCAAGTAGCAGCTTTGGGCATTCTAGGGGCAAAAATCACACATCTAATTTCTTGACTACCTATCACATTTTAGGAGGCCCTGGAGCACCAGGACAGTGGAAACGCACTGAAAATGACCCCATATTGGAAAGAAAAAAACCCCATGGTATCTTCTAAGAGGCACATGGAATATTCTGAAGACTTAATTTTTTTGCCACAAGTTTTGGAAAAATGTGGAAAGAAAATTAAAATGTATTTGTTTTACACAATGTTGTCAATTAGAAAGATATTTCTAACACCCCACATAGGCATTCTTAGAATAACACCTTAAAATACATTCTGCTACTCCTCCTGAGTATGGGGATACCATATGTGAAAGACCTTTTCAATGCTTGGACTGATTATGTACCGGACATTGCAACCTGTGAATAACAAAAATCAGCCAACACTTTATATCAACATAGCATAGTGTAGTTCACCTACAGCAGTCCCTGTTCCTAAAAGCTTAACCTACGTGGCTGCCAAAATAGCGCTAGTAAGTACAGGAGGTTTAACAAAGGGTAGACCAAAGAGTATCTGTGGTTTCAGTAGTGCATTTGTCCACAGAGGATGGGTGGCACCAGTGTCTCGAAGGAACATAGCCAGTGGGATATGCAGAAAGGTCAGTGCCGGTGCCAAGCAGAGACATGGTCAGCAAACAGGCAAAGCAGTGGTCCAGGCAGAAGGCAGAAACATAGTGCATTAACAGGCCACAGTCAGTACAGATAGCAGGCAGAGATGTGGTCAAAGGATTGGTCCAGGCAGAAACATTAGGCGTAGGGCCTTGGTTAGGTACAACTGGGCAATGAGGTAGAGGCTTCTTCAAAGCCTCCAAACCCTGATCTGGATTTACAAAACCTGAAGAAAACCATAAACTTAGTTTTCTCCACTAGTAAAACACTATTCTGGATCCTTTCACATACGTGAGGCCCCCTCCTCTTGAATCCCACTACTACAGTGGGAGGTAAAAAGATCAGTCCAGGAGGCAGGCAAAAAACGTTGTCAATTGACAGGCCAAGGTCTGTTCAAGAAGAAGGCAGAAACTTGGTGGATAAACAGTTAAGGTGCAGGCAGAGGCATGGTCGATTAACAGACTGAGGTCAGTTCAGACGGCAGGCAGAAGCATAGTTGATGAACAGGCCAGGGTAAATTCAGTTGGCAGGCAAATGGGTTCAGGCAGCAGGCAGAAATGTGGCAGGGAAATGGCATGTAGTAACAAGGGAAATATTGTCACCATACCTTTACCAATATCAAATTAAAGTGTAGTGGCAATGACAGCACTCTCCAACACAGAGGCCAGGCTGGTCAGGACATTGGGGACAGTCGTAAATACATGGCATCTTCTTTGTGGCTTGTGGTCTGTTTGAATAGGGGGAAGGATATCGGTAAAATGTCTTTCATGCAGCCTGATCATTGCATCAGAGTGAATTTGTTCAGGTATGGGGCTCTCTTGATAGATGAGGGATGTGACAATCTCTTCCTGATAGTGTAAAAAGGTTACGGGTCTCTGTGTGGACTTCTGGTAAGCTACATAGGAATTGTACACAGCCAGGTGAAAAAGGTAGATGGATACTTTTTTTAATACAGTGGATTGATCTGCTGGTGGCTAAGTAGGGCTGATCATTTAAATCCACTCAACCCATGAACAGGTTGTAATCTTGTATGCATTGGGGTATTTGGATGGAACTATGCCTGCCTTGTTTGAACTTCCAATGAGCTGCTGTTGTGAATAGAGAAAAGAACATTTTGATTTCAATAATTTTTATTGATTATTTTAATAAGACTTTGTAGGTAAATACGGTTAATTTCGAGATATTGCAGTACAAGATAGTAAACAATATTTTCCCCACCAATTGGCTGGGGTAGTAATATAGTATGTGGTGATGGCATGAGAGGTATGCTCAGTATATTCTGAAACCGTGTAAGGTTGTAGAAGAGATCTATAGGGGGTGGAGAACAAGGAGTAGGGAAATAGGGGAGGTGGGAAAGGGGAGAGGGACGGGAAGGGTAAGTGCACCAGTCTAGGCAGATGGGTCAAGGTATTTATAGTGAATTTATCAGACTTTTACGGAGCAGTTTGGGTTCTGTAACCATCAAGACCAATGGAGCTTAAATGTGTGATAGGCAGAATTGTCAATATGGCGTATGCGGTGTTCTTGTTGTTGTACCACATTAGAGATTTGGGATAGTGATGCTGTGAAATCAATGTGGAGTGTTTGTCGCAGAGAAAAAAGCATGTTTTTCATAGACATCTCAGTGATAGGTTGATCAGAAGCAGGGAAAATTCAGTTAAAGATGGAGCAGAATTTTGAGGCAGAATTTGTGAGATAAAGAGTTGGTTGTCAGGAGTGGATTCAGTATCCAATCTGGGTCTCGATTTAGCAGGGCTGCTTGTGGTGGGAGAAAGGGGAGGAGAGGACTCACCCGGGTCTCCTGGGTACAGTGGTGCTCTTAATCTGGGATCCAGGTGCTGTACTGCGGTGTCTCTGTCACAGACTTTGTGTCCATTCATGCTGCAAGCCGGCGCCATCTTGGCTGCATAAGGGGACAGCAGGGTCAGCTTCCCTGGCTGTCCTGGGGCTTTCCTCTTCTGTGGCATGGTAGACGAGGGGTTAATGTACCCTTATGTGTAATCTGAGTCACTCGGATCTCTCCGTTATCTGTGTGTGCTGCGTCTCTGCTGACAGATGGATGGAGCTCTGTCTCTCACACGTCCATCCTCGGAGCTGGCCGCCAGAAAAGAACATTTTGTTTGTCTCGCCACTTAAGGGCCAAGACCTCATCATTCCTCAAACTGGCTGACTCCCCCCTGTTCAGTCTGGTGGAAACTTGTTATGGGAAACCCCTCCAACTGGGTCAAAGGTAGTACCCCTGATTGAAGAGGAGGAATACAAGGTCCCAGACAATTTTACCACTGGTCCCCATATAGTTGGGCAATCATGGGGGTTTAGCTTACTATCCTTTCCTTCATAAACCCAGAAATTGTTTAAATACACTGTGGCTCTTTCTCAGGATTTGTACATCTTTACCCCATATCTGGCACATTTCCTTGGGATGTATTGTTTTATGCCCAGCCTTCCAGTGAAGTGGATTAGGGATTCATTGACACAGATGTTTTTGTCGGGACAATATATTTCAGGAAATTTTTTGTTTAAAATAATTGATCAGTTGACAAATTTTATAGGGTTTGTCATACTTGGAGTGATTTCTTGGAGCGCACCAGAATTATCAATGAAGTGTAAAAATTGCATATTGTTTTATAACAGGTTCTGGACATAGTGGCAGAATAGATTGGCATATGTGTAGGACTTGTGGACCAATAAGCCTGCAGTTCATTTTTTTTTTTTTGGTAGTCCCATGTTTAGTGTGAGGCCAAGGA